GTGTTGAAGTACGAAGCAGGCATTTCGAACATTGTTTTTTTAATTTTTCGCCCTATAACTCGAAAACTACATATAGGGTATATTTATATAATGTTTTTTTTTTATTTATTTTAGTGTGTAGATTTATCCCTTGAAATATTAACATGCATTTATGAATTATTCTATATATAAATATTAACATATATTTATAAATCATTCTGCATATAATTGCGTGTGCATATTTAATATTGCATTTTATACAAGGCGTCATGTTTTAAAGAAAAATTGTATGGTCTAGAAGGAGATAAGTAAAATCAAATTTTAAAATCAAAATGACATGCTTTATATTTCACATTTTGACATACATAAAACTCTCATAAATATCACTATTTTTTTTATAAGTAATACTTTTATGCAGAATAATTAGAAGAACCATACATTACATTTAAGAAATCATATTCCATTTATATAAATATGTGTGTGTGTGTGTGTGTGTGTGTGTGTGGTGCGTGCGTGCGTGCGTGCGTGCGTGCGTGCGTGCGTGTGTGTGTGGTGAGTGGTGCGTGCGTGTGTATAAAGTCGTGCGTGCGTGCGTGCGTGTGTGCGTGCGTGCGTGCGTGCGAATAACAATAACTTTTACATAATTTTGAAAAATTGATTTTTTAGAAATTGATTTTATCATTATTTGCTCCCTTCCAGAGCATGCAACTTTCGTCTAAAATTTTTTTTCAAATTAAAGAAAAGTTCGGAGGTGATGGTTAAAAATGGAATGTCCTATATATATAATGAGCTTAGTTTCGATATGCAAATATACAAAAATGTTTAATTCAAATCGTTTTGTTACAGATGCTGTATCCCAGTCGAATATAAGCATTCTTGTATAATATAAATAAATACCATTTTGGTAAAATTTTTGTTGTTTTATTTACGTAAAATACATCATAATTGAAAAATTATCGATCTTACAGCAATGATTTATATGAATATGGGTCAATTTAAATAAGATTATTAAACTACAACAAGACACATACAAATACTTATTAAGGTACTTCTTTAGTAAATCGAGTTACTATATAAATGTCCAATTTCTTTATATATAATGAAGTTGAAGTACTGAACTTAACGTGTGCAAAACGTGTAAAAGAACATATATGTTAGAATGGTCGTTATTTTAACAATTTTTGAAATTTAATCGGGACACCTCTTAAATTGGTTCAATATTTCGGAAAAAATAACAAAAAAATAACAATATTTTTACAGATTTTTTGAATGATTTTAACCCGTGTCATCGGGGCACGGGTAGATGGAAAAATATTCTTGTAGACAAAATTGGGCCGACGCTCTAATTCTCAACCAATTTTAAAGTTTTTTTTTAATTTGCTCGAAATTAAATAAACTATAAGCCAATTTTGCGTAAATTTTGATTACAGTCTAAGATAAAAATTGCCGATTCAATAAAGTGAGCAGAAAAAATCAAAATTACGATAACGAATATTTGAATTGACAATTTTTTATTTGATAAAAATTTATGCAAAATGGGCTTATAACGCATTCAATTTCGAGCAAATAAAAAAAAACTTTAAAATTGGTTAAGAATTAGAGCGTTGGTCGAATTTTTCCGCTTACTGTGCAAAGTCTTGAAATTTAGTACTGCTTTTTAATGAGAATTTTTTAAAAATAATCTTGACAGCTATCTGATAGCTACCAATAAACTTTATGAAAATAAAGTTTTCAAAGGTAATTGGCAGCGTTACAAGAGTACTATGATAGTTGACAACTGTCTGAATGAAAAATACATGAGTAAAAACAAATTTATTTCATTGAATATTATAAGATTAATCAAATTTTACAAAATGTTTCGAATTTCAGTCTCATATAATAATCTCTGTAAATTATGCAAGTTTCTTGTTGAAGCGTTTAAGTAAAGTGCTTTTGTTTACATTTGAATACATTTTTTGGTATTTGCTGATAACTTGAATAATGAATTATTTTTTTATCTTCGTTATAAATGAATCTGTCATTGTATTCAGTAATCAGTTTGATTATCTTTTTCCGTGGCGTCATCGACAACCTTATTTTCCTTATTTTCGATTCATTAATCTGTAGTCGTATTATGTCCACAATCATTTTTCTTAATTTTATATTCATATTGTTATCATTGTGATTATTATACACTACTCAACAAAAAATAGGGACACTTTAGAACATGTTCAAAATTGCGTAATATTCAGAACACCGTAACTCGGTGAAAAATTATCGCAAACAAAAAAATCAAAAAAGCATTTGAAAGCTTGATATCTCTACTTTCGAAATCAGTAATTGATATTTTAATCTGACTAATCTTTTACGGAGCTATACGGATACAAATGGATACCTGTCAAATCTGAAAAATTTTTACAACTTTACGAAGATTTATGGCGTGAAGTAAATATAATTTCTATTTGAACTGTTATAATGTTTGAGCGTTTGTAGGCTCAAACATTATAAGTTCAAATACACTATTTGTAAAATAGAAGTATTAAAAGAAATGAGTGTACGTTAACAAATCAGTTGGACATATATCATAAATATACAGGTATTGAATTTAATTTAGCGCGAAAATCTGCATTAGCTCTGCAAGCTTTGAATCCGAAGTGGATCGAACAGCTTAATTTACTCTAGAAATGTTCATACCGAACAAATGAGACGACATGTAGCAGAAAGTTGCCGAATGATTTTCGAGATAAAAGAGCAAACGAACGCCTCCGATTTGCAATGCTGAACGCATCTCCTGTCACGCACTTGCATTGGGCTGGGCGAATTTGACTATTTTTATAAGTTAATAACTCAACAATTGTAAAATGAAGGATTTTTCTTCTTAGTTTAATCCATTCTGTCCCTATGCGAAAGATTTATCACTAATTTCCAAACATCCTATATAACAATATGTAAAAATTATCGTGAATATAACAAATGAACTGTTTTTCTGTTCCTGCATTAGACTGCACTAGAACTCTCTTTTCACGTAGCTGTGGATTATGTGAGAAATATGTGCCGTACATACGCAATCCCTAATAATTTTTGAAGGCATCCGGTGCAGATTACGGACTACGGCAGAGAGAAACCTCAGAGAGGACATGCCGACCCAAAAAAACCTGTAACTGCACACTATTGCCCCCCTGACATAGCTGTAAAGATAATACGTCCTCTTTTCAACAACAAAAGTATTAACATTAAGGTTATATTTTTTTACAAATGTGCTAGTATTTATATTTTAAATAAGCTATAACTACTTTTAAGCGAAATAAACATTACGCGCATGTAAGATTTCAGAGATGAATATTTCTGATGCACAATTTGTAAATGTAGCACGATTGTGTGAACTAAGTATTATTATTATTATATTATTATTATTATTTATATTATTAACTAAGTATTTATTATCTGGAGTTGAAAAAAGGACGTATTACCCTCAGAGTTATGTAGTTTACATCCACTTTGTCAGGTAACAGTAGTATGGCAGTATTTTACAGATTTTGGGTCGACATGTTCTCTCTTAGGTTTTTCTCTGATTACAGGCATGTATGTAATGGCACCTTTAAGGTATAATACCTTTTCATGCGAAGCACGCTGCGGCAGCAAAAATGTCATGATGCAAATTTTTCATAATTGCTTCCGCTATATTTGCTGCACATGAAAAGGAATATCGGCAATAGCATATGTATTAAAGTTTAACTTCAAATATGTCTTATTTGCTCAGTTCGAAAATTAATATAGAAAACTTAAAAAGATGAAAATTTGTGATTATATGGCAACTGTGAAGTTACAATTTGGACAACTACCATTTCAGATAATTATTTAGAATTTAGAATATCCCCATCACTTCAAATCTTAATAAAAATGTACTCAAGTTTCACATTTTTTGCAAATATTGCAGATTTTCTCAGCTTCGAATTCTTTGCTGCTCATTGTTTGTTCGGTTGAACTTCAATGAGATGCGGCAAAATGTATTTTGCGTCGGAAGTGCGTCTCTCACGTAAAATTTTTAACCAATAGTAACAAATTGCTGCTGTAGCGTGTTGCATATAAAAAGTCAGCTTTAAAGTGTCTTTTTATATACAGCACGCTGCAGCAGCAATTTGTTACTATTGGTTAAAAATTTTACGTGAGATAACGCACTTCCGGCACAAAATACATTTTGCCGCAACTTGTTGAAGTTGAATCGAACGAACAGCAAGCAGTGGTAAATGGTGGTAAATGGTAGCAAATGTCTGCAAAATAGAGAAAAAGCGTGCAATATTTCGAAAAGCTTTCGATTAAGAAAGCTAAATTACGGAGAATAGTATCAGATACGAACAGAAATATGTTTATAATTAATAAATTATTTTTAATAAATAGTTATAAATCGAACATGAAAGTGATTGGAGTTTAAAAAAAATGGACGAACTGTTTACTTACTGTAGGATATTTTAATAGCAGCAACATCATGGAAGAGCAAGCACAACAGTAAAGATCGCGCGTGCGAAAAGCACATAAAATAGAAAAATATAGTAATTAAATATAGAAATAAGAATCTATCGCAGCAATTCTGCTAACATAAGTAAAGTAAAGTAACCAACATATATTGCATATTCCAACAAAAGCAAATTATAACCTCAATCTGTCGATGACAACGAGAATGTAAATAATATATATTGCAATTATTGTAACTTTTAAATTTGATTAAGTTAAAATATAAACAATTAAGAAGGAAGATTATCAAAGTTATAAAATAAACTATAACTTTCTAAATTATAAGATCACTTTATACTTATAAGATATTATACTTTATATTTAGAAAGTTTATTACTATTTATTTTACAATTTTGGTGATTTTGTTTCTTAAATCGTTTATATTGGGTCATCTAAAAAGTATCCGCGGTTTTTTGTCACTAGATGGTGTTGATGGTCAATCACATCTAATGACAAAAAACCGCGGATACTTTTTAGATGACCCAATATAAACGATTTAAAATTTTAAAGTTACAATAATTGTGATATACAGTAAGTCAAGTAAGAGCGTGGTCGACCAGCGTGGTATTGCACCATTTCATGTTATTAGTCTTGAGATAGGTTCGAATAGTTTGTACGATATATCTAAACCTTTCTGCTTCAATTTTGCTTGTCCTTGACGCAGTGTTAAGTCAGGATTCCGCGAAAACAGATTCACTATTTTTTAATCGTCTTTTTTACATATTGATATCATATTTTCCACTTTGCATATCGAGCCATGTTCTGCTAAATCATCAACATTTTTTGCCACATTATATCGCTGCACTCACTTCTGTACGAATAATTTCGACTTTTTCATATATTGGATCATCTAAAAAGTATCCGCGGTACTTTGTCACTAGATATATGACCATCAACACACATCTAATGACAAAAACCCGCGGATATTTTTTAGATGCCCCAATATTTAACAGCCGTTAATTGTGATATTTTTGGATGAGTGCAGAGGAACACAGCTTCATAGCGTGATGCGAATTTGGTACTCATGGCGCTTGTGATTCTCTTAAGAAAATTCAATGACAACTGAATCTTCTTGATAGTGCATCATAGAGAGCCTATAATCAGAGTGACGCCATACGCGTATCACTTGTGATTGGTCCGCCATGTTTTAGCCATTTCCTTCAATTTTTTAAACGTATTATTTTCTAAATTTTGAATTCATGCTAAAAAATGCTCAAAAATTGTGATAAATTAAAAAATGATAATAAATAAATATTGTATATAAAATAATATTGGGTCATACATATATATATATATATATATTATTTATATTATCGTGTCGTCGACAAACTGAGATTATGATTTGTTTTCATGTTCGATTTATTAGTATTTATTGAAAATTATTAATTATAAACATATTTCCGTATCTTCCATCCGTAATAAGTAGTACGGAAGTTAGAGATATCTGTTTCATTAATAATGTGATTCTCTTGTCGTCAAATTTGAATTTTTATATATTTTGGAGATGCTACGTACATGTTATACAACGTAACTAATTTTACATAGATGTGATAAATTAATTTACCAAAAATAGTCAGAACAACAGGCAACACAAGCTGTTTCAACGTAACATATTCTGTCAGGTCAGGTTATGGTACATGTTCATGGAGCACAGATGTGCGATCTAGATTCCAACCAATCAGAATCATCCATAGTCACGTGACGAGTCTCTTTTTAGAGTCTCTAGATGTAGTATAATTAGTGACGAAGGTAAATGTTAAGAAGAGCTCGCTCAAATTTTGATAAAAATACACTGAATCGATGCGTTTTGTGTAAAAATAAATATTTGACAAGAAAAAAGTGTCACTCTGCTCTGCGAATCGGGATATTATTAGGTGTACAACTTTGCTTCCGCTATTTTTTTTCCGAAATTCGAGGCTTTATTTTAAAAAACTGATTATACATTTATGATTTAAAGTATTGTCCATCGCTGATCACTACTTTCTCCCATCTTTCGAGCAACGAATCCCGCGTCGAAAAAACTGGTCATCTTTTGAGGCGATCCACGAATCAATCCAATTTTTTACTTCTTCATAAGACCGGAAGTGCTGGTCAGCCAGGCCGTGTGCTATTGATCGAAACAAGTGATAGTCAGAGGGAGCAACGTCTAGAGAATACGGCGGGTGGGGTAGGACTTCCCATTTGAACGTTTTCAAGTATGTCTTGACCACTTTCGCAACATGAGGTCGAGTATTGTCATGCTGCAAAATCACTTTATCATGTCTCTCGTTGTATTGCGGCCGTTTGTCTTTTAATACTCGGCTCAAACGCATCAATTGCGTTCGATACTGATCGCCTGTGATTGTTTCAGTCGGTTTTCATAACAGCTCATAATACACTATCCTGAGCTAGTACGCTACGTCCCACCAAATACAGAGCATGACCTTGGAGCCGTGAATATTCGGTTTGGCCGTCGACGTGGAAGCATAGTCGGGAACTCCCCATGATTTTCTGCGTTTGGGTTATCGTAATGAACTCATTTTTCATCCCCAGTCACAATGCCATGCAGAAATCCTTTCCGTCTTTGCCTTTCAAGCAACTATTCACAAGCAAACAAACGCCATTCAACATCTCTCGACTTCAACTCGTACGGCACCCAATTTCCTTGCTGCTGAATCATTCCCATGACTTTGCGGCGTTTTGAAATGGCTTGTTGGGCTACTCCCCATGATCGTGCCAATTCTTCTTGATTTTGACACGAGTCTTGATCAAGTAATGCCTTCAATTCTGCATCTTCGAAAACCTTCTCTCTTCCACCGCTATGCCGGTCTACGACGTCAAAATCATTCTTGAAGCGTTGAAATCACTCACGACACATTCTTTCACTAATAGCGGTCTCACCATAAGTATTCGATGAGCCTCAGATTTCTTCATATTGAAGCAGAAAATCAAAACCTCCCGCAAATGACGAGAATTTGGCTCGTAAACTGACATTTTCAATCGAGAATAACTTTATGATGCAGACACAAATCGATTAATGTTTCTATGGGGTTATGTTGACAGATGCCCAAGTTTATTGTATGACGTCTATGATCTATTTATTTCAACCACCACTTACCGCTAAAGCCATCTATAGGAAAACGGCGGAAGCAAAGTTGTACACCTAATAAAATCGATGATTTAGGTCAGAAAATCTATCATAACAGTTCACTAGTGCTTTAAAAACATAAATTTTTTACTAAAATAGTGAATTTGTATTTTAAAAGCAGTGAATTTGTGTTTTTAATGCAGTGGACCACTGCTGTGACAAATTTCCTAACCCGAATAGTCATTGACTTTAAAGATTAATCTCGGTTTGCGGAGCAGAGCGACACTTTTTTTGTCAAATCTTTATTTTTACGCGAAAATGCATCAATTCAGTATTTCTATCAAAATTTGACCGGGCACATCTTAATTAATATTTATCTTTATCATTCATGGAGTAATAAGAAGATCGAACTCGAGATCTGAAAAGGAGTGGTTCACTTTCACACAATTGCCGACTGCCAATCATAGCGACTTCTGCGTAGAGAGTTTTTTTTATATTTTTTTGAGCGCTGTGATTGGCTTGTGTACAATTGGCTTTTGTGCAATTGCTATATACTCTGTCTGAAAGTTGAACTTTAAATTCCATAATAAATAACACAGTGGTTTAGTTTCCACCGAGGATTCAAACCAGATCAGAATGTAAGAACTAACCAACAACAGTCGAGTATTCCCCTGTTACAGTCCTGTTACGACAGGAGAATACTCGACTGTAGTTGATTGGTTCTGATCTGGTTTAAACTCTCAGTGGAAACTAGGCCAATGATACATGACAGAAATCTATTGTCTTCTCGTTATATCATCTAAAAAGTATCCGCGGTACTTTGTCACTAGATATATGACCATCAACACACATCTAGTGACAAAAAACCGCGGATACTTTTTAGATGACCCAATAGATTACAAAGATTAGATTCGATATTTCTTGACATTAGAAAACGAGCGTTGAAAAGGCATCTTTATCAAAGTAAGTTTACCGTCAAGAGGCACGCGCAGAGAAGCTTGCTCCGATATTTTACCTCTCGTATTATTCTGGCAAATCGACATATAAAGGGTGCTTTCCATTTCATGACACAAGTCGACATAAGAGTCATTCTATCTTTGTCACTCTCTGAATGTTAACAAGAGTAAAATGATGCTTGTGTCGACTTGTGTCGTCAAATGGAAAGCATCCATTATGGATCACCAATGGCAGTGACGGGGGTAGAAACATGAGTAGAGTGAGAGGTAGATATTGGGAATACAAATTAGTTTGGTCTGTTTTTTTGTGTTCAAAAATGCATTTATTTCAAAACAAAATGAATGAACAGATTAATTAAAGTATTGTCCATCGCTGGCTACTACTTTTTCCCATCTCTCAGGCAATTTTCGAATTCCATCTCGAAAAAATGACTCGTCTTTGGAGGCGATCCAATTTTGGAGCCAATTTTCGATTTCTGCGAAAGAAGTGAACCGGTGACTTGCCAAATCGTGCTGCATCCTTCGGAACAACCAGTAATCAGAAGGAGCAATGTCCGAAGAATACGGCAGGTGCGGTAAAACATCCCATTTGAGCGTTTCCAAATATTTTTTTACGACTTTTGCGACACGAGGCCGAGCGTTGTCATGAAGAAAAATAACTTTATCATGTCTTTGCTCGTATTCCGGCCGTTTTTCCCGCAATGCACGGCTCAAACGAATCAATTGTAACTGATACCGATCGCCCGTAATGGAATCGCCAGATTTCAGCAGTTCATAGTAAACAACACCTTTTTGGTCCCAGATACAGAGCATGATCTTCGAATCATGAATGTTCGGCTTTGGTGTTGATGTTGAGGTCGATGACAATGATTGACCGGGCTTAGCATAGTATTTTTTCTTCTTGGGGTTGTCGTAGAATATCCACTTCTCATCTCCAGTCACAATCCGATGCAAAAAACCTTTTCTTTGTTGTCTTTGAATCAGCTGTTCGAAAAATCGCCTTTCAACGTCTCTCGGTTTCAGTTCATAAGGCACCCAATTTCCTTGTTTTTTAATTATTCCCATAGCTCTCAATCGTGCAAAAACCGCTTGTTGAGTTACTCCCAATGATTCTGCAAGCTCCTCTTGCGTTCTCTGATCTTCTTCGAGTAATGCCTCTAATTCTTTGTCTTCGAATTTTTTTGGCTGTCCAGAGGCTTGTCTTCAATGCTAAAAATCTCCATCCTTGAAATGTCGAAACCATTCTCTACATGATTTATTAGTTGGAGCAGTGTCATCATAAACTTCGACAAGCATTCGATGGGCTTCAGCTGCACTTTTCTTCCAATTAAAGCAGAAAATTAGAACCTCCCGCAAATGCTGCTTGGTTAACACAAAATTCGACATTTCAAACACAGTAAAAGTCAAGGTTTTTGTATGAAACTCAAAGCGATATAAACTGAATATTATTAGCAGATGTCTAACCTCTCTGAAAACGCCGAAATCAGCTGTCACTATGAACCATTCACAACAGCCGGAACCATCTTTAGGAAAACGGACCGAACTAATTTGTACTCCCAAAATGGATGACTTTCTTTCTCTGTTTACCTGATTGATTGGAGCGTGCTGCTAGATCAACAATAACCAATCAGGCTTAATAAATAGAGAAAGAACGTTCATTCATTTATTTACCTCTCACTCTATTCGTGTTTCTACCCTCACCATCGTCATTGATAATCTATTCTATACATCAATGGACAAAAATAAAAATTGACCAATCACAGTCGTCAATTTTTATTGGGTCATCTAAAAAGTATCCGCGGTACTTTGTCA